GACTGGTTGTTGGTCCATGTTGACCTGCTGCTGTGATCCGTTGATCAGTAAAAACAACACGTGACGTAACACACGGATGTTTGACGACAGACTGATGTGTTTCACCTGAACCAGGTGAGCTCAGGTGCTCAGAGGTCACCTGAGTGTTTGGATGAGGATCTTCAGACTTCAGAACCTCACACATGTGGCAGCAGCCGGTTCCTCGGGTCGCCTCTTATTTACTGCTCATGTATTTGTTGGTCCTGTGGCGGTCTGAACTGTGGGGAGGCAGATCTGCTGCTGCCGTCGGGGGTTTCCTGCTTTGAAGGCTGAATGAAGCTTATGATGCTTGTGACTCCTGTTGAAGAGTCACATGAGGAGGCCCATGAGGAGCAAACACAATAGGCCTCAGTTAGAGGTTCAGTCTTTATGTGGAAACACCTTCCGCCATGTAATCATATCAAACGTGTGTTTTCACCCAACAGACGACAGAAAAGACGAATACGAACCTCTGGGTCCGGAGGCGTCGCTGCACGCTGTGGGAAACTCTGCAGGTGAGATCAGCAGGAAGTAATCGCTTCGTCATCATCAGCGATCCATTTATCCACGTGGTAGAAACAGAACACCGAGGACGAATATATAGTAAAATACCAACGACAAATACTCACTGTTACTCATTGTTAGCATGCAGTGATAAAGATCTGAAAGAGTTCAACACGTAACATTCAAAAAACAGATAAAAAACAAACAAATGTTTGTGGACTTTGTGTTTCAGTGAAGCGACTGGAGGGCATCTCCGAACTGGACGAGTACTTCCTGAAACGTAAACTGGAGGACGGCGACGGTCACCCGGCAACCATCGCCGAGTACCTGCAGCGCAGCGACACCGCCATCATTTACCCAGAAGCCCCGGAGGAGGTGACGCGACTGGGCACGCCCGAAGCCGTCGGCCATGACGAGAGCGAGCACGGTACCAAGATGAGAAACTGAACCAAAACAAAAAGAAACTAGTCGGCAATATTTTAAAATAACAAAGTGAACCAGGAAAACTGTCAAAGGTCAAAATCTGATTTATCAAACGAAATCCTGTTAAAAGTGTAAAATGGCTAAAATATCAGTTTCAAGTGGATTCATTCTAAACAATTATCTCGGTTAAAGTTTTAGTTTCTAGCAATTAAAAAAGTGAAAACAGCCAAAAGTGGGACTTTTTGCTTTTATTCAATTTAAAAAAATTTTTTTGTTAATTAAAAAAAATCTAAAACTGGTCTCAATAATGACATAATTTAATAATTCAAAGAAAAATGAGCCTGTTTAAATACATCTCTAAGCCAAGATATTCATCAAGATCTGTACAAGTAAAAAAATGCATTTGTAGTTCATGACTTCTGGTTGTAGTTCTCTAAAAGGCAGTAAGGAGTTCCACAGGGCTCGATTCTGGATCCCCTTTTGTTCACAGGATATAGACAATATAAATGTCTTATTATATTTCATGTAAAAACTTAAATTCTGCAGGTTTCGTTCTCTTATTGAAGACCTCAGAAGTAGAAATTTGTCATTTTATTGGCTCAGTAGAAGAAGAAAAGTGAGTTCATAAGACTGCAGCTAAACTTTGTTACACTGAAAAAAACGAGAAGATCTTCAGCTTATTGATGATCAATAAAATATGAGATAGCAGCCCAAAAAGTAACCTCAAGTTTGACACAATTTTCAGTTTTTAGTAATTAAAATAGTGATGAGATGTTGAACTACCCGTTTAATTTGTGCTCTTCAGATCAAAATATTAAACTCATCTCACTAATGACATCATATAATGAAAGGAAAAAGGGGGGCCTGTAGAAACACATCGCAAAGAGAAAAATTCACGAAAATCAGTAAGAATGTCACCGACTGATGTCTTTCTTATGGACTTAAATAATCAAAAAGATCATCATTCAGAACGAGATGTTTAAAATATCATCATGTTGTTGAAATATCCACAGAATGCTTATGTGTTAGCCGTTAGCCGTTCGCTTAACTCCGACCTCTGACATCACAGACCTGCCGCCCGGGACGCCGGACGACTTCGCCCAGCTGCTCACGTGTCCGTACTGCGATCGCGGCTACAAACGCCTGACGTCTCTGAAGGAACACATCAAGTATCGGCACGAGAAGAACGAGGAGAGCTTCGCCTGCCCGCTGTGCGCTGACACCTTCAGCCACCGAGCCCAGCTGGAGCGTCACATGACCACACACAAGCCCTCCAGCGACCAGGTACGACGCACCTGAGCCGGGTCAACAGGTGTCATCCACCTGAGCCCTGTCGCTCAGAAAAAGGTCAAGTTTGGAGCTCATTTTTAGGAGAAGATGAACTTTATTTATTCCTCACCGGGGAAATTTACGCTGCAGCAGCTGGATACACATGAGACCTGAAAGAAGCAACACAAAAGTACAATCCGGCTAAAAATAAAGATAGAATGGAGGTAAAGTCAGTGTACAATCCAAGATTAATTCACTTATTTATATATACAGGAAAGCTTGTGAATGAGACGTAAAAAGACATTTAATGAACAATAATCACATCATCATCGTATATAAGATATTTCATTTTATCACTTCAGACTGTAACACGGGAACCAGGAAGTGTTTGGTAGTTTTCCTTCAAAGTGACTGAAATAACCGCTCCGCTTTCTGTTGCTGATCAGTTTTTTGTTTTAAAATAATGTGATTAAAAGTGATTGGTCGACGTTCCACCATCTGTTGAGGCTCTAACAGAAAGTTTGACAAGACGAGGGTCCAGGTTTTAGATATTCAGACAAAGCTGTGACGTGGACTCGCTGGTAGGAAACAAAAAGCGACGGCTATCAGTGTATCGTGTATATTTTTCTCATCATGTCTGTAAAGTCACAAGCTGCCTCCATGATGTAGAACTTTAACAACATACATGTGCTCACAGGAGCTGTCTCGGTTCACAGCAACATCCTTATTCTTCCATTTTCAAGGGTAATAATTAAAACTGTGTCGTCTACTGGAGCAGTTTAATCACTGTCATCAGATTTCATGGCCTTTCTGGAGACACTGAACCCTTTGATTGGTTTTACACTATTTTTAAGGGTGAAAATATACAAGTTCCCAGATCTGAAAATTCTCAGAATTTGGCCAAAATATTCTACAGAACTTAATTGTGGTTGCTGAACAGCCACTGGCATGGCCTCCTGCTGATGCCAGGGACCTGCTGCTCGGGCCTATCTGCTGTGTTCTGGTGCTGCTCAGCAGCTGCAGCCTCCCCTCCATGCGTGGGAGCTCAGACTTCCTCGGACCATCTGACTTCTGACATCAGCTGCTGCTGGAAGCGCAGCCAGAACAGATGTGATTAGAGTTTATCGCACAGATCTGTGCAGCTCCGGGTGTCGCGGCGCTGAAGGCTTCCTGCACACGCCTGTTCGCTCACGATGCAAAACTCACATTAGAGTCGCTAACTAAGCTCTGACTCATTCAATTTTCCAATTACACCGCGATCCTAATGAGATTTCCTGCAGCCAGCCTCAGACTCGTACCTGACCCCCCCGTCGGCTCTAACCGGCAGCAGATGGTCTTTTCCCTGCTGGTTTGAAGAATCCTAATCCTCTAAGTGGCTGTTTATTTGTGTCCTTCCTGAGTTAAACTGTTAAAGAGAGACGACTCGCTGATTCAGTCACACCGACGAAAACTCACAAGTCACAAAGCCCCCGGTAGCCTTCAGCGTGTCGAGGATTCAGCCTCCTGCACATCATGGAAATAATCACGAAAACATGAAGAAGAAAAAACCTGTGAGCTCTTTGAGGCTTTCATTAACTTCAGCTGCTGAAGGAGCGTTTTGCTGTAAAGCTGCTCTCAGTTTCAGGAATAAAAACAACAGAAACCTGTCATTTGGGGATTTCCTCATTTTTGTTTTGTTTTTCGAAAAAGAAAAATTGGTTTGTTTGTTTCGTCGCAGCTGGAAATTACCAAGTGAATCGATAAATGGAATTAAAATTAATCAGCTAAAACGAAAACAGTCATTTGTTTGATGATATAATGGCTTAAAACAGAGTTTACAGTTTAACAGCCTGGATTACACGAAACTGGACGGCAGATGAACCCATTAAAGAAACTGTTCATTTAAGGAAAATATAAAGGTGCTATGTGGAACCAACGATGGGTCTTCGATGCCATAAAAGAACTTATTGCAAGAAGCTCTGTCAAGAACCCCCAAACGTGCCTCAAAGAACCTTCCAAAAATGGTTTATTTACCATGAAATAGCTCCGTGGAACCTCAGCAGGAGAAAGAAAAGGTTCTTTAAGGAGTCACGTCTTCAGATGTTCTTCAGTGAAACACCTGGTTTTACTTTAGTATCAGGACAAGATGATTTTTATTTATTTTAATTTTTAGGCAAAAGTACGAATCTGCAGCGTTTCCAGGTTCCTTCCAGTAGAACACGTTTAATATTCTGGGTTCTGGATCGGTCGGTCAGACAGAACATGTTCTAGGATGCCAGCTTGGGATTGGTGAACCTGTGATGGACATTTCTTGCTGTTTTCTGATGTTTAATCGAACAAATGATCCATCCAGAACCCAGAATCCAGAGCTCCAATAAACATGAAGAACCTTCAAAGAACCACAGACAGTAGATGAAGAACCATCCATGATAAAAAAAAAGAGGTTCTTCAGGTGGTGGCTTGAAGAACCAGAGAGCTTTTTGTATTTATTTTTTTCATAGATTTTATGTTTTCAGTTGGTTACTCTTAAAGACATGAACATTTTTGAGAGATTATTTTTACTGAAGTAATTTCTGAGACGACTGTGACGAGACGGAAACCGACTATTTAATGAAACTTATTTCAGATCTTTCAGAAAACCTCTTACAGTCGTTTAGGTGTGATTTACATAACTTCATGTATGATGATAAGATCTTCACACATAGACGTGATCGTGTTCCAGTTCAGAGACATGTTGGTTCTCGTTCCTCCTCTGATTTAACTTAATGAAGCAAACCGAGAGGAAAAAAAAGAAAAAAACCTTTTTATCTGCTAAATAAAGCAGAAATGAGTGTCAGGTTTGTGTTTCCTCCAACAATCATCTGCATCTGAGACGAAAGGATTTCAGCTCCCACTCTGCTGCTGGTGGGGGGGGCTCTGTTTGTGTTTGTTTATCTCTGTATTTGCATTTCAAATGTTGGGAATGCACCTCCACCACAAAGTGTTACCTCTGAACGCCGCCAGCCCACGCTGTTTCTCAGAACGGCTTTCACAGCGAAGGAGTTCGAGGAGAATCTGTCACCGTCAGATCTGCTACTCTAAATACTATTAAATTCCCCGTTAGCTCGCGCTGCCTCTCTGCTGCGACTCCCACTCCTCCTCCTCCTCCATCACTTCAAATCTGTTTTTCTCTCTGCAGCCGCCACTGCTCGCCGAAGGAGCTGGAAACCGCAAGTTCAAGTGCAGCGAGTGCGGGAAAGCCTTCAAGTACAAGCATCACCTTAAGGAGCATCTTCGCATCCACAGCGGTGAGTCAACGGCCTCCGAGTCCTCCGGTTCAGGTCTGAAAGACTTCCTCCCCGAAACGCCGATCCTGCTGCCAGTGTTCACATTTACGTTCTGCTTCAATCCCTGCAACGAAACGCTGATTGTTTATAACTGACGGAGCCTCAAATCCTCCTCGACGTAAAAACAAAAAAACACTTCACCTCAGTCAGAACATGATTAACCTGCTGAACCTCACCGAGCACCAACTTCTGGGTGTTTGCTTTTATACTGTGAACGGTTTTACTCACTGTGGCTCAACAGTTAGAATGACACAAATCACAAAAAAATGCTTAATTTAAATTATTTAAAACTGCAATCCACACGTCCAACACTTGAAAAAAAGCATTATTCCCATTTTCATTTTTACTGCCTCTTCAAACTTTTCCGCTTTATTCTGCTCTGTGGAAACACTTCCTGCAGTTCACCTGAAAACTCTGAATGTTTCACTCAGTTTATCAAAATTTTTATTGTAGAATAAAGAGATTTTGATGAAATGTCCCAATTGTAGGCCTATTTTAGTTTATAGACACATGATACATTCAAGAACCGTTGGTAAGTTCAATACTGACATTTTGTTTTTACCGTTACTGATATTTTCCTTTCACAAACCAGCAGGTTTTGGGGTTAAAAGGGTTAATGTATGCGCGAACACCAAACCATGCTACACGTTAGCATGCTAATGTTAGCCAATGAGAAGTAAACACAGCTGAGGCTGATAACAGTTATATTAGCTTAGCAGGTATTATTTTGCTGATTATTTTTTAACTTCAATAATTAATTGTTGGGTGTTTGAAATGTCAGAAAATAGTAAAATAAATGTCGATCATTCCTTCAAAATGCCTGCTGTGGCATCTTCAAAGAGCCAGCACACTAAAACCAAAGGAGATCCACCTGCTAGTTACTATAATTACCAACTTCAACCTGAAAATGTGTCAAATGTTTTCACCACTTTTGCTTTAAAAAATCATTATTCAGCTTCTAAAATAGTTGCTGGTTTCTTTCGTCACATGTTGGACAAACATGTTGGCCTGATGGTGGCGTTAACACACGAAATGTAAGCAGAGTAACTGCAATCCTTCTTGACCATGGTCTTTCAACAGCTGACATTTTTTCTCAAAACCATAAATGGTGCGAGAGGAAAATCAAACAAATGTCTGAACAACGTTTGGTGCCGACCTGTGTGACAGTTGTTGAGATATTTCAGCCTGAACCAGAAGAGCTCAGCTTTTACTTATAAAAACGACTAAAGAGTTTTGGGATTGTCGGACATATTAAAGTGTAGACTAGAGCATACCAATGATTAATTTGTGTTGAAGTGCTGATAGTGACCCCTGTATTGTGTATGTTGCAGGTGAGAAGCCGTATGAATGCTCCAACTGTAAGAAGCGCTTCTCCCACTCCGGATCCTACAGTTCCCACATCAGCAGCAAGAAATGCATTGGCCTGATTGCCCTCAACGGACGAGTGCGCAATGGAAACAATGGCAAACCTGGCTCCTCTCCCAACTCTACCACCTCCTCACCAGGAAGCCCCGCCCTCGCCCAACTTCGCCACAAACTAGAAAATGGGCGACCGCTCGGCACACAAGATCAGCAGCTGGACATCAAAGCCGAGCCAATGGACTTCAACGACTACCGACTGCTCATGGCCTCGCAGCACGGCTTTGGGGGACCGGGGGTCTACCTGAACGGCCGTGGCGGAAGCCCCCTGGGCATCCATGGCTCCTCCCAGAGCCCCCTGCAACATCTGGGAGGCCTGGGACTAGACCTTCCATTGCTGGGATATGCAGGGTCTCTCGGGAACAACCTGAGCGAGGTGCAGAAAGTGCTGCAGATTGTGGACAACACAGTGTGCAGGCAGAAGATGGATGGGAACCCAGAGGAGATCTCCAAGCTCAGGGCCTACATGAAGGAGTTGGGGGCCCAGATGGAGGAGCATCAGCTAGCCCAGGCTGGCTTCCAGGTGGTGGGCCATGGCAGCCCAACCAAGAGCATCATCGACTACACGCTGGAGAAGGTCAACGAGGCCAAGAACCTGATTGACGAATCCAAGAGGCAAGTGGACGTCAAGAAGGAGAAACCAAACCACTCAGTGGATCTCGGTGCCGATGAAAAATCTCATGACGGCCAGAACCAGTTCTTGCCATTCTCCTGCCAGTACTGCAAGGAGACCTTCCCTGGGCCGATTCCGCTGCACCAGCACGAGCGCTACCTGTGCAAAATGAACGAGGAGATCAAAGCGGTCCTGCAGCCGGCAGAAAGCAGTCCTGCAGGGCGCCGAGGGTCGATGACCTCCGAGCTTCCCAGTAATGACCGGGCCACCAGCCCCATGAACCACTTCAAGGACCATGTGTCAGTGCTCAAGGCCTACTTCGCCATGAACACTGAGCCCAACTCAGAGGAGCTGCTCAAGATTTCCATCGCTGTTGGCCTTCCTCAAGAGTTTGTCAAAGAGTGGTTTGCACAGTGGAAGAGTCAAAACCATCACGTAAGCAATTTGAGGAAAAAATCGCCGCCTCCCGACCGCAGTGGGCCGGACGCCAACCACAGCTTGAGCCGGTCTCCGATGTCTCTTCCTGCTGTAGATTTACATGGAGGCTTCACTAATGGCGAAGCCTCTCACAGACTCACTAAGGGCAACCAGTTTACAGCCAACCGGCAGACAACAGGGGACAAACCACTAGACCCCTTGGACCACTTGAGGAGCAACACCCCGTCACCCCTCAACCTTTCCTCTACTTCCTCCAAAAACTCTCAGAGTAGCTCTTACACTCCAAACAGCCTCGCCTCAGAAGACGCCCATGGGGACATACCACTGGATCTGTCGCTGCCCAAACACATGGTGCACAAGCTCATCTCCATCGGAGAGAAGCGAGCCAGACCCAACGGTTTGATAATGGAGCGAAACGGTGAGGTTTCAGGACGAGAGCAGGGGTGTGGACCCTTAGACCTAGTCAACATCAAGAAGGAGGTCCTGAGCTCCAATGGTGGAGGGAATTCCATCCACCAGCTGGAGAAAAGCACCAGTCCCATCTTTGGGATCAACCCCTTTGGTGGCGGCCCCGTCTACACCTCCCTTCCACCTCACGGAGCGTTTCCTCCACCCACCTTTATGTCTCCTGCCCAGGCCACCATCCCAGGCCTCAGGCCCTATTCAGGCCTCGACCCCATGAGCTTCCTCCCCCATATGGCCTACACCTATGCCACTGGGGCAGCCACATTTGCTGAAATGCAGCAGAGGAGAAAGTACCAGCGGAAACCAGGCTTCCAGGTAAAAATAGTGTCCCGTCTAGATGGTGATGTTTTGAAATAGCTTCTAGAGTTCACTTGTAGGTGTTTTCATATCTCACCACCTCGACAAGTATGCAGCTCCCTTTGCCAGGGATGCCAGGTGTTTTTGTGATAGAAAGCTACAGCTAAAAATGGGCCTCGTCATATTTTGCTGGTAAATAAATGTAGTTTCGGGGACCACAGATGTTGTTATTCTGACATCAGATCTAATATTAGCAGTATCCTCATCACCAGAACTAAAACCTCCTTTGGTTACTGTACTTATGTTTCCACAGGAGGAACAATGATAGTTTTATCCCCAAACAGACCCTGCTCAGGGGATTCATGAAGGTTCAGGGACTTGCTGGGTGGGGCTTGCAGCACTGAACATCTCTGATTGTTTGAGTTTGTCAACTGCTATTTTTAAGAAACTTTAACCACAAACAAGTTTAACTGGCTTTGTTTGTTGAGCTGCAGCACAACAACATTAAACGGTTTTCCATTACAGGAACTCAGGACAAGTAAGAGGTGGTGCTTACACGAACGCCCCCTGAAACTGCCCTTTGAGTCTTTCTGGACTTGTGGGGAGGTCCATAATCTCCACATAAGTCTTTATCATGTTACCCATTTCTAGCTAAACTCCCACAATACTGTCTGCTTGCCAACATGCACTGCCCATACTCGGAGTCGCTACAGTCTTAAACAGTAAGAGGCTCCATCTGGTGGGACAACCAGGCACTACAGCTAATCAACAATGCATTGTCTGACATGCATGTAGACAATACAGGTTTTCTCTGTGTTTTGGAGCTTGTGGAGCCATGGTACACTCTCCACACTACATAAGAGACACTGTCCTACCGGAACTTTAAGGCCACCTCATGCTTTCCTCATCGATGTGTCCTCAAGAGTAATCGTGACATAAATTTCTTGTCTACCAAAGACTGTGAGGTTTCTGGATTGACCCCTTTGTGGACATTCACATGAAGCCCAAAATACTTCACATACTGTCTACAGTGGGAAGTTCTAGATTCTCTTGATATCCTGGGCTCGACATACCTCAGGAATATTCACTTACATGGTGCTACGCTCCAATCTGTAACCAGCTGCTGTTTCCTGTAAAATTGCTTCGTTTGTTTTTCTACATGTGATATTAGGGGCAACCCGACTGGATTGGACTTGGTGTAGTATAAACAGAACTGTGCTCTGCTTTTAAAGTCCACATCGGTCTCACTCTTGGACGTAGACAGCATGAATTGGCCCGTGCAACAAGGTTTCTGACCACCTATGGACATTTTTTAAATTAATTTTTTTGCAGAGTTATTCATTTGTCAAGGATATACTGATATATGGCCTCTCCATTGGTGATAAACAGAGCTACAATGTAAGATTTCAGGTACCCAGAGTAAAATGATTCCTTTAAATACCTTCTCACAGTCAAGAAAAGCACTGATTTTCTAAGGGGAGTGAGGAATAACAAGAACATTTTTAGGATTTAGAGGAAATGATCAAAAATAATTATAAAACTTGCTTCACAGTGGCCATTTCAGTGCCACCTCCAAATTCCACTTAATTATTGAGAACCACCCAAACACACTAAGAATAAACCGGGCACCAGATTTTTAGGCAAGTAGATGAAAAGGATTTAAATAGACGTGACTGACCGAGCAGACGCTCAGCGCAAAATAACACTATAAATAAGACAGGACTTCAAATCGTGGCTTGCTTGTGTAAATCTTGAACAATCTGACTGAGTGTGAATCAGGCATCAGACTCTGTGTCTGTAGATACCAGATGACTCAGATCTGGGGCAAAAACATGTATTTGCCTCCAGCTCACCTGGTGTCCGTCCTTATCTGTAAACAAACCCCCCCGACCACCGTCCCATATGTCCGCCCTTTTTTAATGTCTCCTGGATGAAGGGGACTTACCCAGGTTGGGCCTTTAAGCCCTGTCCAGACTTGGGATCACCGAGGCAGTGGGGGGGTGGCAGCAGAAGGTGTCTCGGCCGACAGGTGTGGGATTATTACTGATGCTGTGTCTCCGTCTCAGGGGGAGCTGCTGGACGGGACGGCGGACTATCTGTCAGGCCTGGACGACCTGACAGACAGCGATTCGCTGCTCTCCAGGAAGAAGATTAAGAAGACTGAAAGTGGTATGTACGCGTGTGACTTGTGCGACAAAACATTCCAGAAGACCAGTTCCCTCCTAAGACACAAATATGAGCACACAGGTATATATAACATTTGGACACTTCTTTTTTACCCCACCCCCGATGCTTCTGTGCCCCCTCCCTTCATTTCTTATGTCTCCACATTTTCGTTTCCACCCCCTTCCCCTCTGGTTTTTATCGATCACGTAGCTCCCCCACTTTTCTCTTGGTTTCTGTTTTGTTTCTCTGCAGCCGTGGCCTTTAACATGTTCCTTTCTTTTCAGCGGGGGGTAGGAAGCCTTAATGTGGAGGGATTACATAAACACTCAGCGCCCCAAATATCAGCAGCATTTCTGCAGCATCTCATTCATAGCGTGATGTTTGTGCAGCGGCGGCGGCGGCAGGAGGAGGAGGAGTGCATGTTTGCATGTGTTGCTGTTTGTGCATGTGTGTGCGAAGATCAAAAGGAAATATTAATTACAGCAGAGAGATGGTCCATTTCTTCATTTTTTACGCTGGAAACAAACAATCTGGGATGAAAACACTCCACTGGAGGTGAACCGTCAGTCAGCGCTGAGCTCCACAATAAAGGGGGGTTTATAACAGACTCCCTGTGGTCCATATAAAACCCATTACTGACCCCAGCGCACAGCCCATTACCTCCAATCAGCAGCCGCCAGCCAACCCTGTGTGGATTTACAGTGATTTGTTTTTGTGGAGACCCGTCGTCACTCCGTCCACAAACCAGAATGTCTCCATGTCAGATTAACAAACTACAACCGGAGCAAATGCCTGCCAGAGAGCTGAAAAATGCAAATGAAGTCATGGTAGTCCTTCAGTAAGATCAAGGTGAAGACCAAGATCCCAACAGAGAGGTCCAGTTGTTTTTGATTGAAGCTCCTCTGATAAATTCAGTGTTTTTTTTTACCAAAGTTTGCTACAAACACCTTGGAGAGGGCTCAATCTGAGGCCAACAAATCAACCGCAAGAGATTTAAAGCTGAAGTTTCTCCACTAAAGTTTGATGCTAAACGACGAATCAGTGATCTCACCTGCCTCCCCTCCACCTTCACCTCTTTCACTCCGTTGCATCAGCCGTCGCTCGTGTCCGCCGCTGTGGCTAAATTCAAGTAATCCCGAGCAGCAAAAACAGCACTTAAACCCACAGAATTTATGTTAAATTCCACTGCAGCTCTTCAGAGTCACGAGGCGTTACCAAAACCGTCTCGTGGAGGTTTAAAAGCCTCTTGCGGGGACTCCGACTGATCAACAGTTAAATCATTTTGCATTTTTTACATGATTTTCTTTGATGAGGAACTTATTCTGATCTCAGAAACTGAAATCTGTCTTTGGTACGGAGTCGTGTTTTGACCCACTTTTACAAAGACTGTCTGTAATTTTTCAAGAAAAAATGCCAAAGTTGTTGGTTTCGTGTCTCACATTTGTGAACTTTTCTTGTCTGGAAACAGAATATTTTAGCATTTTGGACTTTAAATGATGTCATTTGGCTACTTGGAAACTGTTCATGTTTTATTGACCTGATGTGAGAAAAGAAAATTAGTTTCCAACTATTTTTTTTTATCATCAATTAATCACACGTCATTTTTCAAAAAAAAAAACGCCAAAGCCGACGATTACACGTCTCTCATTTGAGAATTATCCCTTTTCTGGATGGATGTTTGGATATTTTGCTGTTAGACGATTCGTGACCTCATCTGGCTCCTGGAAACTACAGCATTCATGTTTTAATTACTATTTACAACTAGTCAGTCAAAAAATAATAATTTCCAACTATTTTTACCGTTAATTAATCACACAAGTCAATTTTTGAAGGAAAAACTGCCAAAGCTGATGGTTTCATGACTTGTATTTGAGAACGTTTCCTTGTCTGGTTAAACGAACATTTTAGCGTTTTGAACTTTGTTTTATTGACCAGCAGCGCTAAACACTGTTCAGTGGAGGTTGGCTGACCTGCTCTCTAATTATTTTCAACAAGTCGATCAAAAGAAAACACATTTCTGTCTTTTTGTGTCGTCACATTAATAAAGTAAAAATGCCAAAGTTGACGGTTTCATGCTGTCACATCTGAGAACTTTCCCGTCTGTGGTTAACATTAAACCCGCTGCTTCTGGACACCGTGATGCTCCGTAGACTCAAACGATCCGTCGATTAACGGCCGGTTAATTAAAGTAGTCGTCCGTTGCGGCTCTAGACGTTAGCCGGAGGCCTGGTGTGATGCGTCCAGGAACTCTAAAAGTTCAACTCTAAAATTAGTGTTTTTTTGAATGGGGTTTGGTTGAGAGCTCGTGTTACCTGCGTGCCTTCGATTACAGACTGTGACCTTCATCTCTTTCACTCCGTTGCATCATCCTCCATTCATGTCCCCCCCTCGACCCCCAACACTCGGAGCAGGAATCCACCGTCTCAGTTATTTCTGTGTGTGTGTGTGTGTGTTACAGTAAAGTATAGCGGCGCTGGTGGAGCTGCAGCGTTCCAGGTCTATTTGTGGCCACAATCTGCCTGCATGTGTGTGTGTGTTGTGCATGTGTGTCGGGGTGCAGCCGTGTTTTCGGTGCATGTGTGCGTGGGACGTGTGATTGGACGGAGTTCAGTTCGCCGGCTGGCAGCAGAGTGAAGCATCCTGTTCAGTCAGATGGAAGAAATGTCTGCCCGAACGGAGTCGTAGTAAATCTGCACAGTGTGTGTGTGTGTGGGTGTGTGTGTGTTACAAAGTGTGTGTGTGTTACAAAGTGTGTGTGTTACAAAGTGTGTGTTAGAGTGCGTGTCAGTGTTTGTCGGGGTGTATTATAGTGTGTGTTACAGTGTGTGTCGGTGTGTGTCGGTGTGTGTTACATTGTGTGTCGGTGTGTGTTACAGTGTGTGTCGGTGTGTGTCAGGGTGTGTTACGGAGGATTCCTGCTCCTCCTCAGGTTTAAATCCGGAGCTGTGATGTCATCGCAGCTCGCGGCGGCCCGTCGCAGGATCTCGTTGCTTCGCGGCGTCTCAGGCATCTCGTCCCACCTCGCCGTCGTCACGGCGACAGACAGACACAGAGCGCGAGGGGAGCGTTAGTCTGAAGCTGAAGCTCTGACGTCCGACTGGAAAAGTTAAAACGAGCGTTTGAGATGAAAATGTTCAAACAGACAGAGGACAGGAAGGAACCAGCTCAGTCTGAAACAGGCGTCCACTGAGCGTGTGCAACAGAAATAAAGTCTGTACGTCACGATGTTCGTTTAAACGACAACAACAACAACAACAACAACAACAACCAGTTTGACTGCGATCCACCACGATCCACACCATATGTATCAAATGACCGCAGCTGCGAAGGTTAACAGCTATCGGCACGGTAGCGTAAATAAGACATATTTGTGGCTATATTAGCCTAAACTAGTAACATTAGCCTCATGTTAACCTAAATAAGTAATTTTAGCCACTGTGTTTGTGCAAACAAGTAACATTATGACTCTATGTTAGCCCAAATAAGATGCTAGCTACCATATTAGCCTCAATATGCAATGGGACTGTCACTAAAAAGTGAACATTGTTCACTGTATTTCCTCAAACAAGACAATGCTAGCTTCTATATTAGCCAAAATGGGTAACATTAGTTGCTGTATTAGCCTAACAAAAAACAACAACAACACTACAGTGACTATTTTAGTTAACAACTTTATTTGCTGTATTAGCCTAAACACATTATATAGGCTGCTCTGTTAGCCTAAACCAGTTACATTAGCTGCTATGTTCGACTAAACAAGATCATCGTAGGCACTACATTAGCCTAAACAAGTAGCATTAGTTCTGTTAGTGCAAGTAAAAATAGTCATTACATTAGTCTGAATAAGTAACAGTCACTATGCTAATGCCGTGGCTAACAAAGTAATGTTAGCTAAACAACAACTTTAGCTGCTACATCAGTCTAAACAAGCAATGATAGCTTAATCTAAAGAAGCTGTTAGCTGCTGGTGTCCTACACAAGAGATGTTAGCAGCCACATAAGAACAAACAGGTATTGTTAGCTGCTAAACAAGCTAATCTTAGGCACTACATAAGCCCAAACAAGTAAAATTAGCCATTGCAACTTTAGTGACTACATCGGCCTGAACAAGTAATGTTAACTGCTTTGTTAGCCTTAAAAAAGTAACATTAGCCACTGTATTAGCAAAACAAGTTAATTTCAGTAACTACATGAGCCTAAGTAAGTAAAGTTGCCAATGTTTTAGCCTAAACAAGCTAATGTCAGGTGCTACGTCAATCTAAACAGAAAACATTAACTGCAATATCTGCACAAATACTGTAATGTTAGTTGCTAAATTAGCCTAAGCAGGTACAATCAGCCCAAACATTAGCCTAAAAAAGTACCGTTAGCTGCTATTTTAGCCTACACAAGATACTGTTAGCGTAAAAATTTTCCTAAACTAGTGATGGCTTTGGTAACCAACAATAACTGGAGCATTTTAGGATGTGAACATTGTGACGACATTTTGTTTTGGGATGCTGAAACTGGGACACAGAACATTTTTGGCATTTTTTCTTGAAATAACAAACTAACGAGTTGGTTGATAATTAGTCTTTACCTCAATCACTGCTGAATTTTAAACTGAAGTTGAATGAAACTGTTTCTATGTCTGAATGTGTTTCTTGGTAGAGATGCCGTTTCCAGCAGGATGAATGTGTTCCTGTTTGTCGTGCTGTGTTTGTTGTGTTTTGGTGTTTTGGTGTTTCGGTGTTTTCCGTCCGTCCTGACCGCGTCCTGCTGTCCGTTGTGTCTCTGCAGGTAAACGTCCTCACCAGTGTCAGATCTGTAAGAAGGCCTTCAAACACAAGCACCACCTGATCGAGCACTCGCGGCTGCACTCTGGAGAGAAACCCTACCAGTGCGACAAGTGCGGAAAGCGCTTCTCGCACTCGGGCTCGTACTCGCAGCACATGAACCACCGCTACTCCTACTGCAAGAGGGAGGCGGAGGAGCGCGAGGCGGCCGAGAGGGAGGCCCGGGACAAAGGGGGCGGAGTTGGCGGTGGAGGAGGCGGCGTGGCGTCCGGAGGTCTGGAGCCCACCGAGCTGCTGATGAGGAGGGCCTACCTGCAGGGCCTCGGGCCGCTCGGATACTCGGACCCCGAGGATCAGCAGGAGGACGGCGGCGGTGGTACGATCCTGAGGGACGGCAGCGAAGGAGGCGGAGGGGAGGTGGATAGCAAGACGTACGAGGATGTGACAGACGGACAGGAGGCAAGTTTCAGGGAAGGAGACGACGACGAGGACGGGCGGCGGATGGACTCGGCGATGGTCGGCGAGGACGGCAAAGACTCGACGCAGCTGATGGACGAGAGTTCACGAGAAGGGAAGACAGACGGCAAGTCGGACCAGGAGGACTGATCGCAACGACGCTCCGCGGCGTTCGGAGGTTTCTGCGTCGTGGCTGACGGAAATGATCGCAGAGGCGTTTTTATTCACTATCGCATCTGACAACAAACCTGCTTCCCTCCCAGAGCAACGAGTTCAGGACTTCACCCCAACGTTAGTGAATCCCACTCTGAGCTGTTAGCCGGAGCAGAAAGAGTTTAGCTGTGACTCACGTTTATCAGGTTCTGTCTGGATTCGATTTCTCGCCACACGAGTTCTTGTGCAGCTTCATTTTCACTGGAGCTCTGAAAGTCTTTCTGAACCTGCTTCTGTGATGATTTACAACCTTAAAAGATGAGCAGAGCTGCAACGATTATCAATCAGGTGTCAACGAGCTCGTCTTATTCTCAGTTTATCGATATTAGTGATCGAAGTAAGTCAATTCTGTGGTCCCAGCTTCCTAAATGTGGATATTTTCTGGTTTCTTTTGTCCTCTATGACAGTAAACTAAACATTAATCAAACAAGACATTTGAGGAAACACTAATGAATGATTTTTAACCATTTTCTCACATTTTAGAGACCAAACAGCTGGAAAAAAAAAACAGTCCACAGTGAAAGTAGTTATTAGATGAATGGACCTCCATCCAACCAAACTCCATTTAGAAAAGTTTAAATTTAAATCCAGGCAGAGAACGTTTGTGAATAGATCTGGGTTTTTAGCTCCGATTTGGTCGCCTCCAGCGGATTTTAGAATCGGGATGAATTTCTGTCAGATCGGACGTCATGTGACGTTCAGTTGGAGGTTTTTGTTGTTCAGGTTTTTAATGGGAACACAGGTTTCCATCTGCTGGATGCTTTGGGATAAAGAACAAAAAAATATATTTCAATTGTTTTTTAATCTTTCCATTTATTTTCCACCTTAAAAAAAAAACAAACATAAAATGTTGTTTTTGCTGCATGTTTCCATCATTACATCAGACCGGCTTCATTGTTTATTTTATCCTGTAATTCTGGTGTCAGTGATAATATTTCGATTAATCATAAGTCTTAATGTGGAGTTCCTGCCTCTGATTGAACAACAAATGTTACGATTCATGATCTAATTTTTAAAGTTTCAGTTCAATATTCTCTGCGTTCGTGCAGCTCCATTAAACCTGCTCCGTGTTCTAATGATGCAAAGATATAAACTCAGCGCAACTTGTTTTTATCATAGTTTTAAAGAGTTGGCACAATTATCTCAAAAGCTGTAATTCAGGTAAATGAATACGAATAATCCAAATAATAATGATTCAAGTTAAATAAAGTCGTCGTAATGATAGGAAATAAAGTCTTGTTGCTCAAATCAAAGCAACTCAGCAGATATTCTGAAATCAAACTGAAATCTTTGTTTAGAAGTCCCAGACGGAACCTGATAAATCAGTGATGAAGCTGCCGGAGGGTCTGAGGAGGAATAATTCCAATAATCAGTGTTATCGATGTGTCGGCCGGTGAAGCGTCTGCAGATCGTTTCAGAAAGTCCTTCGGCAGAGACGTGGAATCGCTTCAAATCCACATTATGCAAAAAAAAAAGAAGAAGAAAAGAAAAGAAGAAGTAATAATGATCATCGTTACGACGAGACGAAGTGAAGCTGTTTTTAATGTACAGTATTATAAAGGCCTAAAAGCTGTGTGGTGCTATGATGTTCTTAACTCCTCGTGTCGCGTCGTGTTCGAAAAACCCCACTTCAAGAAAAATTGCACTCGACTCCCTGAATCACTACGAAGTAAAAAAAATAAAATAAAAAAGAGGGAAAAGCGCCTCGAACACTTCCTGTCAGTATTATTGTCGTATTTGTCTCCTTTTACTGTGACGTTTGTTTTTTTACTTTGATCCTGTTTTGTTATTTTGCCAGCTAACCACACGACTTTGGGCCTCCTGATTTATTATAATTTTTTCTTTATGTGAAGGAACATTTAAACCTGTGTGATTTTTTATAAATAAAAAAAATGTGGATGTGAGTCTTAAAAAGGAGGCGGGAGCGAATACAAAAAAAGGGCTCCGATTTAAAAAATTAAAATTAAAAAAAAAAAAAAAAAAAGACGAGAATAAGAGGACAGAGCCTTTTTTTTTCTGTGTGTGTTGAATTTTTTTCTCCAGAGAAAGCCTTATATGCAAACCTGTCACCTGTGCGTTTCTATAAAGTGCCATCCCTGTACAGTGTCCTCACCTGTCCTCACCTGTCCTCTGCTCGGCTTCAGTATTACAATGAATATCTCATCCAGTTTGATTCGTCAGTATTAGCGTAGATAGACGGCAGTTTGTTAGTTTACATATGTTTGTTTGTGCAATTTTTCTCTTCGTTTCTGTTCCGCCACAGTATTATTATTTCCTGTCAGTATTACTTTATTTTTTTTGTTTTGTTTATTTGTTGAATTTTCCAACACAAATTTCTTTTTTTTTTTTTTTTTTTTTTTGAGAATTTACCATTTTATTTATGTGACTCATTTTATATTTCCTAATTTTATTTATTTCATACTGTAGTGTACAGTATTAGAGTTCCTCACAAATAGATATATTTTAGTAAAATGATTCTGTCATCGAACTATTGGAGCAAAAATAAATATGAATAGAGCGTTTATGACATTTGGAACGTGTTTCTTGTTGCTTTGTTTCCTTTGAAACTACTGGAAAATTCTAAATTCGGGGAACTTTTGATACGATGATTCTTGTGAAAACACTGTATTTTTTGAGTAATCCACTTTATTCATCCCACTGAAGAGGTGACGAAGGACTGATGATGATGATGATGATGATGATGATGATGAAGGAATTCCTGAAATGTCTGAAGTATTATTATTTTTAATTTTCTTGGAAATGACCATGCTCGAATAAATGTAGCCAAATTAAATTTTAATAAAGCTGTGTTATTCTTCTTGTAGCACCTCTGTTTGATTCATTAGCGCGACGATGATGATGATGAAGGCTGTTTTTAGCCTCCTCGTGTTACCGTCACATTTCTGCTCGCTCACATCATCCCTCGGTTCGAACACATGAAACCCTGCAGGCCTGACAAACATCCTCAGCTCAAGCTGCCGCCGCACATCCGACGCTCACACGCACTTTGTTCACATTTTACACTGAATTTTAAACACAAAGCCGGAAAACAAACAGTGAGAATCTGTCTTCTGTCGACGCTCGAGTACCTGCCGGAATGATAGTGAACACAAAGAGATGCAAAAGAGCAGCAAAGAAACACAAAGTAGTAGAACAGAGACACAAAATGAGCAGAAAAAGCCCCTAAAGAAGGCACAAAGACTTGCCAAACAGCTACAAAGAAATGCAAAATAATAATAATAATGATGACAAAGGGACACAAAACCACCACATAGAGATGCAGGATGGCCACAAAAAAGCCCACAAAATAATGAAAGAGTGACACAAAATGAGCACAGAGACACAAAGCAACCACAAACAGACACAAAATGAGCACAAAGATGCAAAAAAGCCACAAAGAAACACAAAGTATTAGAACAGAGACACAAAATGAGCGGAAATAGAGAGAAAATGACTACAAGGAGGAACAAACAACCACAAATACACAAATACAGACATAAAATGACTCACAATGTCTACAGACACTAAACCACCACAAACACAAAATAACCACAAAGAGATGCAAAAATAAGACACACAAAATCATCACAAAGAGAAAATAAGCACAAAGAGACGCAAAACAACCAAAAAGACACAAAACGACTATAAAATCAACACAAAACAACCTGAGACACACAATAATTCTTCCAAATACCGTAAATATTTGTAAGATCATGATATTTTTAGCTGCTTTAAATCAAACACTCATTTTAAGCTCAAATATCATCAACGAACAGAGACATTTGTCACAAATACAGATTGTTGATGTGGACATTATTTACAATTGTGTTCTTCTTAATATTATTATTATTATTCATTTATTTATGAAATGGAATGAAAAATACTTTATTTATCCCAGAAGGGAAATTCAATTTATTTTTAATTTTTATTTATATTTTATATTTAATTTTTATTTTAAATAATTTTTTATTTAATTTATATTTTTACCATTAATGTGTAAATTCTTATTCTAAAAATTGAAGTTTTTTTTAAAATAATATTTTAAATTAGCTTTAACCCGAGATTTTATATTACTGTCTATTTGTATTATTGTATATTTGCAATTTTTTTATATTTAAATGAATTTGCTCACAGGAAGAGGCGGAAGCAGGATTTCCCGCGCTTGTGTCCTCCAGCATCAACGTGATGACGTAAAGCCGTACGTGCTGTGTGCGCCTGCGCGGAGAGGATGCAGTCAGAGGTGAGTGTCCCGCTGTCGGTGAACGGTCGGTCCGTGAAGGGAGACCCGGGCCGCCGTGTGGTCCCGAGGGTGGCTCAGAACACCCTGTCTCCGCTGGAGGCAGCCGCACTGGAGCTCCGGGACTCCTGCTGCGGCTGCAGACCGGCGGGGAACCGGGAGGAGGAGGGTTGTTTTTCGGCAGGAAGACAGCCGGTTAGCCGTTAGCTGCTAGCTGCTAGGCTAACGGAGCTCAGCACGCTGCAAGTTTGTGAGAGAACTGTGCTCCAGTAAATACACGGAGCCCGGCCCGTCTCATTCAAACAGAGGGCGATTAAAGTGAATAAATGTGCACAAACAACTTAATATTAATATAATATTTCAGTCACTTGACATCAGTTTGTCCACAACTTTCCTCCCAGACGTTTCCCTTCAGTCCTGAGCTGGTCGCTGATTGGTTTTTAATTGATGAACTGGCTGATTGGTTTGTTTGATCACTTTGATCAGCAGGACACTGACACGTGACACTTCTAGTCACGGAAAAGGAGAAAGCTGAACGTATGGCAGCTGAAAAAGGCTCATTGGCACTTATTGATCGTTTTAAGTGAGCTGTTTTTAATGAAGACCAGCAACAATTAGTTTAATTTGAATTGAACCAAACTGCTAATTGATTAATCAGACAGTAATTGTTGGCTGCACACGCCTGATGTTCCTCAAGACTCTGAATCTTCGTCTTCAAAAGTCACAAAAACAGAAACACTGAATATTCATGAAAACTATCCTCCCAAAAAAAGATCATTTTAAATATGTTGTTCTGTTATTTTCTACCTGAACGATCTCCAACAATCGCTGTTGTGGGATTGTAAGAAGCTGAAATGTTAAAAATCATCATCACGCCCGCTGATAGGGGGACAAACGGGTCTGTTGTCCCGGGCCCAGAGGGGGCGGGGGGCCCAGAACTGGACCCTCATTGAATTCTGGATTTTTTTCCCCAAAGAAGGGCTAATAATGGAAAGAAACAGGGCAATATTTGAGTTAGAAGTTTGAATTTGTTTTTTTGGCAAAGAAAAGGGGAGATGTGGGTGAGCGGCCCAGGGGATGCTGTCAGCAGCCTGATCATCATCATCATCATTATTTTGAAACTAACAAACCATAATTTATTATTTTCTGGACCAATCGATCAGCTGCTTGGTCTCTAAAATGTCAGAAAATAGTGAA